ATAATTTTTCTTGTATCATTTTCACCAACCGGAGTAAGGAATATGGAATTTTTTGATAGTGCCGTAGAAGTTACAGTACTCTTTTTTGCATTCATGCTTGTGCTTGGTATGCATTATTCATGACAGAAGCAATTTTTTGTGGACTAGTGACTTCGATGCCGTTCAGATACTATTAGTTCTTTTTGTTTGCATAATTTAACATAAGAAGGAGATAGAAAGCCTCTCTTGAGTTTGTTTCGCCGGTTCTTCTCAGAAAGGTCTCCCAATTTTGGAACCGGTGGTAGTTTACGGTAGTTAGGGTCAAATAAATAAACTCAAAATTACAAAAAAGAATTTGAAATGAAATACTTTATTAAGTAAATTAAATAATAAATTCATACATAGACAATAAAACTTAAAAATCGAACAATGAAATAACCAAACGCTCAATAAAAGTCTTTCGAAGGTAGCTCGACAAATTGAATAAAAGTTTTATTCTGACGACGTAGCCTGTAAAGGCTACGAAACGTCAATAAATAAATAAAATTTCGTGCATTAACCCGTAAAAACTAGTTTTATCAAAAAGTAATATATAATTCTTTTTGTTATTTTCGATGCGTCATATTGCATACTAACTATTGAAAGGTAATAAGTTACTTGATATGACTTTATGATTTAGACTTAAGTGAAAAAAGTGTGGCATAGAATCTAATTTCAAAACTGGTAAACATTTTCTGACCGCCACCGTATATATGGAATACTTTACTTCATGGGGTGTCGAAACTCTTAAGTCACCTGCATCTTACATAATATTATTAAACGCCCAAACCAGGAACTTCCTGAAGCGACACCAGTCACATTAACGTTGGCCGAAAGTAACTAAGATTACTTTTCAATAAATCTAATTCATTCCATCACAAGCCATCGAATGTGATATACTATTGGATATACTCAAATTAATTTATTCAAACTTTTCCAAGCATGGTTCGCAAAATCTTGTTCTGACGAGAACCGGCATGTATTTTTTTATTGTAACCAAAAAACAATGACATCGACTGCCCTACGCGGGGTGGGTTACGATAGCTTCGAAACCCGCAAAGTTCACGACTTATTCAACAACGAAAATTAATAAAATAGAGGGTTTTTTTTTATCTTTATTATTTTGTTTTACGAGTACCTACTTCTGTTTAACAATGAAAGACGTAAGTACTCGGTTTCTTTGAAAGAATTCGTCCGCAATTTATATGACTAAAATTTCACGTTGAGCCTTTAACATTTATGGAAAATTTCCTTTAGAAATTACTCCGTTCCGCCTGATGTTAAATATCAGTAGAGTTCAGATACAAAAAGAGCTGAAAATAAGGGCTAATCAGATGTCAGAGATTACCTTGCACGCATAGAAAATTAGCTCAAGTTACCTTACCCAGCAATGTTGTAATCATAGTTGACAATGTCTTAAGGTCCTTTCATGTCCATATTTTTTACATTCGTTCAGCTAAATTGAAGAGTACGATCGACAAGTGATTGAAAATAGACAACTCTTTTACTCTCCATGAAACCAATATTATATTTACTTTGTTAATTATTTATTTATACACTATACACACATCGGTTTTTTAGTTTCTACAGTTTTCTTTTATTTCTTTTTAATGTTTTTTTTTTACGTATATACCTAGTGAGGTCATAAATTCTGTCACATGTTTAATGTAAAATAATTGAAACAAGTTTATTAATTATGTAACCATTTATATACCAAAATGAACTTAACAAAACATAGATTCTTATGAAAATAAAGTTTATTCAAAATGACCTCCGTGATTTTGAATACAGGCCTTCAATCTGCGCGGCTAGTCGTCTATCGCCGCACGAACGAGGTCCATGTCAATATCGGCGGCTGCTTTAATCGAGGATGTCTTGAGTGACTCCAAATTGGGATGAAGCTTTGAGCACGCCTTTTCCTCCAAGTGTTGCCATATCTTGTAATCTAACGGACTCAAATCTGGACTGGAGGAGGGCCAGTCTTTGTGCCGGATGAAGTCGATTTCACGTCAGATTTCAGTCTTGTGTGCTCTTCGCTCTATGAGCTGGCGCCGAATCTCGTTGGAATACCCAGGGCCTGTTATTGAACATGGTATAAGAAACAGGTTCCACAAGGTTCGTCAGGACTGTATTTTGATACACAACTGCATTCGTTTTTACACCTTTCTCACAAAAATGTACCTCTGTTAAGCCCCAATAAGAAACTCCCAACCATACCATGAGCGGCGATGGAAAATGACCTCGTTGGACACGCGGAATACGGTTGCTCACTTCTTCACTACTGTGTGCGTACACCTTATCATTTTGTTTGTTGTAGCTCTCTTCTACGGTATAATTTTTTTCATCCGAAAAAAGAATTTTCCCGATATATTGTCCCTCGTACCGGTTCCACAAAGCGCGGTATCTCTTCAGTCTCATGTCCATTAGACGAGTATTCAAACAATGACCTGTTTTTGTACGATATGCCCGAAGCCCTAAGTCTTCATTTAACACCCTTTTCACCGTGGTTCTGCTTATCCCCATCTGAAGGGCCAACAGTTTCTGCTTACGTTTGGGATTTCTTTGAATTCGCGCCATCACAGCTTTTATCACTGCTGGAGTCCTAACAGACCGAGGGCGACCACTTCTTGACCTGTCATCTACACTAGAGTCTTCATTGTATCGTTTGATGGTACGATAAACGAGTCTTTTGGTTATATTAAAATTTTTCAGTATGTCAAAAATTTTAATTGGCGCGTAACCGTAACGATGCAACGCAATAACTAACACGGACTTCTTTAAGCGTCTACTCCATATTTAAAAATGAGTAATGTTCTAAAAAGTATACATTTTTGTTTTCATGAACAATTCGAAATTCGAATTCAATAAACTTTTTTGTGACCAGCATTCTAAAAGAAAAGTTTTTACTGTGTGACAATACTTATGACCTGACTGTGTACAAATATCTATTGGGATTGTCGTTTTGCTTTGCCTGTTGGGCTCGTCATCATCATCATCATCATCAGCCGAAAGACGTCCACTGTTGGACATAGGCCTCCCCCATGGATTTCCACAACGATCGGTCCCATGCTGCCCGCATCCAGCGGCTTCCCGCGACCTTTACCAGATCGTCGGTCCACCTTGTGGGGGGCCTGCCAACACTGCGTTTCCCGGTACGCGGTCGCCACTCGAGGACCTTTTCGCCCCAGCGGCCATCGGTCCTGCGAGCAATGTGCCCTGCCCATTGCCACTTAAGGTTTGCAATTCTGTGGGCTATGTCGGTGACTTTAGTTCTCTTGCGTATCTCCTCATTTCTGATTCGATCACGCAGAGAAACTCCGAGCATAGCGCTCTCCATTGCCCTTTGGGTGACTTTGAGCCTTCTTACAAGACCCATTGTAAGCGGCCACGTCTCGGTTCCGTATGTCATCACTGGCAACACGCACGAATTGAAGACTTTCGTCTTGAGGCACTGCGATAGATGTTCCGAGAAGATGCTACGTAGCTTCCCGAACGCTGCCCAGCCGAGTTGGATTCGTCGATTAACCTCTTTCTGGAAGTTGGACTTACCCAGTTGGACTATTTGTCCCAGGTATACGTACTGGTCAACAGCTTCCAGTGTAGAGCTCCCAACAGTCACTGGAGTGGGTACGACATTGGAATTCGACATGATTTTCGTCTTGTCCATGTTCATTTTGAGACCCACTTGTTGGGACACCCTACTGAGGTCGCCGAGCATTGTGCCAAGGTCATCCATGGTCTCAGCCATGACTACGATATCATCTGCAAATCGAAGGTGCGTCATGTACTCGCCGTTTATGTTGATGCCAAGTCCGCTCCAGTCCAAAAGTTTGAAAACGTCTTCCAGCGCAGCTGTAAACAGTTTCGGTGATATAACGTCACCCTGTCTTACACCACGCTGCAGCTGGATTGGCTTCGTGTTTTGGTCCTGGAGTCGAACTGACATAGTGGCGTTTTCATACAACGACTGCAACACTTCGATGTATCGATAGTCTATTTGGCACCTTTGGAGTGACCGAAGCACGGCCCATGTCTTGATCGAATCGAAGGCTTTCTCGTAGTCCACAAACGCCAAGCATAATGGCAGGTTATACTCTTCGGTCTTCTGTATAACCTGCCGCAGCGTATGGATGTGGTCTACGGTACTAACGGTACGTACGGGCTCGTCATCATATTTTCTAAATTTATAATTATTTACAAAAATGTAAAATGTGTTAGGTAGTTTTACCTATTTAATCTAACCATCCATTATTCCTGTCTATTACTATGTTTACTATTTTCTTAGCGTATTTCATAAATATCTCTCTTTCCTCAGTGTTTTTAATTATTATTTCTAAATTATATTTATTAAGTTTTGTGTGAATTGCTACTTGTGTAGAGGGTCTATCATTGTTGTACACGAGGCATTCTAGGAGGATGTGGAAGACGTCATCTTCGGCATCTGGGTCGCATACGCATCTTGGGTCACCCCAACCAACCAAGATGCGTCTGCGATCCAGATGCTCTTTTTAAATTTATGGAGGTAAGCGGAGAAACCTCCATGCCCGGTAAAGATTTGTGCAGCAATTCTATCAATCTCTATCTTCCTGACGACACCGAAGGCATTTTCACCACAAGAAAAATGCTTTCGTTGTTATGGTCGCTGTGTCCTCGTTTCTATATCTGCTGTCCCATTTCGCTTTCGTCATCGCGCGTGCATGTCGCTTGACGAAAGAGATGGGACAGCAGCCATAGTGCGATTTACTTATTCAAAACCATTACTTTAATTTGATTTAATAAATACTATTTTATTTAAGCACGAAGAAAATTTTTTGGTCACCCATCCAATACAGACTGCGAAAGTTGCTTAACTTCAACGATCGCAGCCGAACACGCTAACTACTTGCGGCGCCGGGCTCCTTAGAGAATATACTTAGCGGTTAAATCATTTGCCGGCAGTATCGTATTATTTGATATATGATTAATATTATGATGTTTTGCAGCGCAATGCATCGCGCCGCTCGGCATGGAGAGCGGACAGATACCAGACAAGGACCTGAGCGCCAGTTCCTCGTATCATGATGGCAACGTTGGCCCGCAGAACGGAAGGTATGTGTAACAATTACAAAATCGTATACTCAGTTCAAATAAAAAAGTATAGAAGGTACAAATAAACAAACAATGATTTTCATATCGCTGGAAATTAAACCCAAATAATTCAGACGAGCAACGACAGTCATAAATGGCCTTAGTTTTGTTGTACTTGTGTACTGCGTGTATTTGTGTAACGTACATGCCTAATTTTAACCGGTGACAGTTTTTTGTTCGCAGCGCTCTATCTACTTTTTTTATATCTGAGATCGTATATCCTAACATGCGTGAAAGTAGAAGAAAACCTAAGAACATCGGTTCCCAACTCTGTGGAAGATCTTGTACTGAGAAGAAACTATTGAGATACTATTAATATTCTGCTTTCTGTTTGTGCGTTGAATGGTTGTTGGTAGATATTTTAATTTCACTCCAGACTGTATAATAAATAACGATACATATTTGAGTATCCTGCCTTTTAGTGACGCAAATGCTTAAACTTAGTAAATGGTGGGGTAAAATAGAAAATTCAAGGGACAATCGTGTCACTGAATAATTATTTTATTTTCTGTTTTATTTTAAATTAGTAAATGATTGTGTTAAATCTTGTGCAGTTGTTGTTTAGTTCTGCACTGATGCGGAAACTTTGCTTCGCTTTTTGATAAAGTGAGGTCCGTGAAAAGTTTCATTGCCGATCGGTCAGTTCCTGTGTGGTGGTGAATTCTAAATTTTTTATAAACTTATTATCATCTTTGAGTGTTATGTTAATTAACTATACCGCAAACCTTATGTGTACAGCGTTTGACCAGCTATTATTACAATGCGGCGGCGCGATAATAATAGCGTACCGAACGTGCAAATCATCACACCCCCCCGGACGAATGAAACAGTGTTGCTCGGATCCGGAAAAAAGCAATACGAGACTGTATTAAAAGTATCATTTTGGAGTAGAAAGTGGAGCCTTGACAAATTTTATTGACAATCCTGAATCTGATAGCACGACCATCTTTCCTGCTTAAACTAATACCACCTTACTACAAAACACGGACTGAAGTTAGTCTTGGTTTATTTAAACCTAATGTTGTCTTTGTCTTTTTTTTAGCAAACGAAAGCGACAGCATTAGTTTTAGTCCAAGTTTAACTTTAGTCTACGTTTTATAGTAAGGCCAGCAGAGTTTCTGAGTTGATATAGACAGCCATGCGAGCCAATATCATAGCAGAAATTATAAAAACTCCGCGTCAAAGGAAAATAGCAGCTCCGCGAAAATAACTTTCAAACGTTATTAACCCTTAACACGCGCATGTACCCCCACCTATATTGGTGTCTTTACACTTATTTACTAATTACTTAAAAAAATCATTTCATTAAAAAAAAGCTTGATAAGTCACAAAGCCACGAATGTGACTTAAAAAAAATGCCAATTTTGCTCCTCAAAAGGGCCACTAATTTCGCTACCTTAAGTGTGTATAAAAGGGATAATACAGGTTCAGGTTTATTAAAAAAAAAAGACAAATCCAACCTATACACCCACACACACATAAATACCATCATCACACTGATCTCCTTCCACCATGACTGGCCCTGCCCCCCCTCATCATTACTCCACCGCCTGCTCGCAGGTCGCTCACATGGGTCTCACCCGGTGGGCTCGACAGCGCCGAGGGCGGTGGTGAAGACGGAGAGGGTGATAGACCCCAATGACCGCTCTGCTAGAGGCACAGGCGCTTCCGTAAAGACGCAAGTCAACAGATTCCCCGCACGCCGCGTAGCCTCCGGTGCCGGCGACGCGCGAGTAGATGACAACGGAATTGGGGTTATTCGCTATCCAACCGTTGAAGAGGACACGTGAGAAAATTTCACAAAAGAATCACCTTGACGATGGATACCACTGCTGATGATGATGTCGCTCGGCAACTGAACTTGAACCGTTTTTCGGCTCGAAGAGTATACCAGCTGTTCATAGAGACCGGTGGCTATGTCCGGAGGCATGGGTCTGGTAGACGTCGCTGTAACTCCGAGATAGACGACCGATTCATCGTATCGACATCTCTGAGAAATCTGTTCTCCTAATGCTGTGGAGTTGCTCCATGCAGCTCCCAGAACAACCGTGAGCGTTTCTACGGTAAGACGAAGACTGAGGGAGAAGAAGATAGCGGCTCAAAGAGCTGCTACGTGTCCAAAATTGATTTTGATACGCAGAGCATCGGCAAGCCTGCTTGCAGTTTGCTCGCGACCACTTCAATTGGACCCTTGACTAATAGAGAGCTGTTCTCTTCTCAAATGAGACGAGAGTGTGCCTTATCTGCAACGATAGACACAGAAGAGTGTATAGAATACAGGGGGAACGTTTCGCCCAAGCCTGCATCCAGGAGACGGTGGAGTACGGGGGTGGTACCTGCATGTTTTAGGGCGGCATGTCGACCGACGGCAAAACCGGCCTTGTATCTGCGTCTCCCGGACTGGAGGTGCTCGCGGGCAAGGGTCGCTGACTGTTCGTCGTCGATAACCTGTAAGAGCACATGCTCTTCTGATATAGGGGACCACATGGTCCACATGGTCCCCTATATCGGTTTTGTTAGCGAAGGGTTCACATTGATGCACGATAACGCTCGCGGTAACACTGCATTAATTGTGCGCAACTACCTTCAAGAGGTTGGGATCTCTGTCATGCAGTGGCCAGCGAGAACTCCAGACCTGAACCCGACAGAGCACCTCTGTCGGGACCATTTGAAACGTAAGGTTGGGTCTCATGATCCCGCTCCCACGACTCCAGGTGCTCAAGGAGACCCTTATTGAGGAATGGGCCAGTATCACTCAAGAAGAGCTCCTAAAATTGGTAAGATCCATGAGGACACTAGGTTATAGGTTCGTGTTTTTTTTATTTTTTATTGTTTTATAAACTTTATTGTTTTTTGCATTGTTTAATAAAAAATAATTGAATTGTTTTCTTAAGTTTATTCAATGGGCTTTCAAATGACACCAATGTTGGTGGGTGTAAATGTTGTTGTTGGTTATTTTCGCAGAGGTGCGATTTTTTGAAACCGAGTGTAGTACCAATCAATAATTGTTATGCAATTACTAAAAAATATTTATCTTTTTTCTTTCAATAACAACGTGAGAGTAACTTTAAAGGGTCAAAAGAGGCGTTAAATGTTACAGAAGTAATGTTCTGGCAACTCTGGAATGAAATTTCTCTGCAAATTATTATTGAACGTGTGAAACGTTACATACCCAACGATTATTCACTAGGTATCTACATCGGAATATTGTATACGAAATACGATGTCTGACTACGATGAATGTAATAATGACGTACCTGTTAATTGGATGACTGTTGCGAAGGTATGAAAAAACTTTATTACAAAGCCAATAAAGGTTATTTTTGTATCGCGAATGGACAGTGTCGTGGTCTCACTTGCACCTGGACCCTGACTGGGTGAAAACAATGTAAACACCCGCGTTCTGGAATATTCTTTATCTTTAACATACAACATTGAGTCTATTACGTGTGTGCGCTTGATTGATTAGGGGTAGCATTTCAGGCAAGCAAGAAGTAAAACAGCTCATCGCTAATTTATTGATGTAATAGTTGGGTGGATATGATGAGTGTTCCTATGATATTGAGTAATATACCAGCTGTGTTAGATGTTCCGTTCCGATCTGTAGCAAATGTCAGATGTTAATTATTAACAACGGACCAACGCAAAATATGCCATCTAGAAATGACTTTTTCACTGAAATATGTTTCAAACTATGCTCGCTCAATACCTATACCCTCTTAATAATAAACCACTGATGGAGAAATTTAATTGTAATTTCTATTTTAGTCCTGTAGGCTGCGAACGTGCGTGTATAGGTGGTATTCGTAAGATGAGCTCGAATACAGACAATGACAAAAGCCAATCGCTTTTCATGTGCTGCCAACTGAATGTGCCCCCTGATGCGTATCGAAATTGAGCGCATGTCCTAACGTTGTACGTCGCCGGCCATATTATAATGTCATATCTTGTCTGATGTGCCCTGGAGCCTGGAGCAGCGTGCAGTGTTGTGACGTGTCCATAATAATATTACAAATGAGGAATTGATCTTCATGCAACCAAATCAATTTTAATAAATTATTGGGTAATGAGATCAAGAGGACCATTGAAAAAGAACTAATAATACTTTTCGTCGAAAATGAACATTTCAAGGTAGTGAAATGGGAGGGGTAGAGGTGGGGAAGTTTGTACAGGAAAGCTAATTATTTTACGCTCACTAAGTCCAGCTAGTTATTTAATGAAATACTTTTTTGATTAAAAATATCATTTATAACGTGATATGATAACGTTACGAGTTCCTTATCAGGTTCCGTGGTGGTAACGACAGATTTTGCTATTCTGTTGATAAATTGATGGTATAACCTCTTGAATTAGTTTCTTACTTTGTTGTTATTGTATCCAGAACGATGTATTGCAGTGACGCTAATTACATTGAATCATAACAATCGGTTTTAACGTCAACCAGTTGAAAAAAGGGACAATAATTCAAAGCACTATCATAGCGTTTATGAAATAATATATGTTGGAGATTCAAACGGATTCGACTCAATAATTTCTTCATTGCGGTCCGCCATGTTGTTTGCTTATCGATCAGTGCGCACGTTCGGCGCGGGCGCTGTCTCAAGAGCAAGAGAGCTCCTCGATCAAACGCACTACTGACAGATACGAAGTTGACACTGACATTGACATTGACAACGTCACTCACGTCATTCAGTTACGTCACAGACAAAAGTGTTGCCAACAGAATAAATTAATAACACCATAATCTCCGACATATATAATATAATAATAAGAGCTAAATAAATTAATATTTACACTTACCTCGTTAAAGGGTTAAGTTTTTTATTGAATGTTACAGTGTGCACGGAAGTATATGCAACGATTAGACAATATTATGATTAAATTGAAAACATTATGGGAGTTATAGGCTATGAGTTCCTTTAAACAATCGGATCTTATGATTTATATGTACTTACATGTTT